GAAAAGGCAATGTTCAATGAAGTATATAATAGCTATAAAATTACCATATTTGAAGCTCAACCAATCTAAAAAGGAATAAATCAAAAGGCATCCTGTCAATAACTCACTATAATGAAAGAAGAAAATCCGACTGAGAAAGAAGATGGATTACAAAGGAACAACCATTCAACTATCTGACTTTGCAGTAGCAACAGTGGAAGCCAGAAAGCTGTGGAATAATATCTTTAAGCTTCTGAAAAAATGTAACTTTAAAGATAGAATTGTAAAACTACCTTTCAGAAATAAAAGTAAAGCAAAAACTATAGATAGATAGAAAAAAATTAAGAGATCTTACTATGAACAGTTTTTTCTAAACATTTAGAATATGAGTTTCATGAAGATGTTAATCATTAAAAAAATTAAGAGTGACAGAAAAATGTTAATCAGAGAAAATATCAAGCATAAGCTTAATTTAAACAAAACCTAATGGCACAAGAAAAAATTTATTGATAAATGTCACAATAAAATATTTAATAAAAACATAAGTTGGAAGACACAGTCTAAGATCCTTATATTGTTTGGGAAGAGAGAAAAAATATTCCTTAACTTTGGACAAAATAACCAGATAAAAAAGCAGTGGCAGAATGAGTAACTTCCAAACTAATAGAACAAAAGAATGTGGGAGCAGAGAAATAGACAAACATGCAAACAAAGAACAACAAAAACACTCTATCAATTCAGAAAAAGCAAGAAAGGAAAAAATGACATAGAGAAAAAAAGAGTAGATAGCCCAATTAAAAGGGTGGAAACACTTTAAATTTGTCAATTATTATAGTAAATACAAAAATTCCAAATTCTAAGGTTAAAAGACAAAGACATCAGAATGAAATGAAGGTTACAACTATGTCGATAGTAACCAAAAATCTACTGGCCAATAGATACTAACAAAAATAAATGTTAGTGTCCTATATTATCATTTCATAAAGTAGACTTCAGAAGAAAGGGCATTGCTAGCCATGTAGAGAGGTGATAAATAGTGAATGATAAAAAATTCAATTCACTAAAAATAGAAATTAAAAATTTTTATACTGCTAACAATATGGCTTCAAAATATAAAATGAGAAATTTTTGAGAACTTGAAGGAAAATATAGGAAATGATAGATTTCTAATGCCATATATTATGTTCTTTAAAAGGGACCTGACAGGATTTATGAAGTCTTCAGTAAAGTTAAAAAATAATGAAAAATCAACTGTGACTGTTGATTTAAGTAAACTGATAATAGACAGGGAGCTTAAAGTTAATCCAGTGAAATCACTGATTTCAAGAATAAAGGTACTGAGATCCCAACAGGTTTGGCAATATACCAAAAGGTCAGACAAAGTATAATGGCAAAAGTAGGACTAGAAGCAAATTTACTGACTTCGAGATCAGATTTTTTTTTTCTACATTACTATCAACTTATTAAGGATATTTGTACATAGCCTATTCTCAATTGCAGTTCTCTTATAACACAAATGTACTGGTTTTATTTTGGTTTTCTTTGCTTTATCTTATGTGGTGAGAGAAGTAGATCTGGGCTAAAATAAAAGCTGAAAGACACAGAGATTTCAGATAGGATGAAATGAAAAAGCTGTAGATAGCAAGTGCACAAAACTAACTTATAATAAGACACGTAATTTAAATTTTGGTGCAGAATTTTTTCCCCTTTAAAGTTACTATAAGTAATACCTACGTCCTGTCCTGGGAATAAATGCTCTAGATTCTGGTAGAAATTCTTACAAGTGGAAGTAATCTGGACACTATCAGAAGTCTAAAGAATCCTATAATCTCTTTCTCAATTCACACCATGTGATGAAGTTTGTAGGAATGATGGAGAAGAAAAATGTTGTAAGGAAGATAGTGCTTCAACAAGGGTCACATATGTGAACAAACAAAAGCCCGTGGGCAGTCTTGTGCTTCATAATTCTTCTACTTCAAATTCTTACACTCCCAACTTACATTTTCACAACCTTTCATCATTGTATTTATCTGTGCTAATTAGATAAACAGAAGTAAACATCTTTTGTTTACTTTTATTATGACTTCCAAGCCTTCAACTTGTCTTTATCCTCCAAGTTTACAGGCTTCTTTCTGATTCGTTTTCTTCCCTGTTGTCAATAATTTCAACTATCATGCCATCTATAACCTTTGTCACTTCTTTGAAATCAATCTTAACTGCTATAATATAGACTCACCTACCTTCTGTATTCCTGATGAGGTTGGAGAAAATTACATGGCCAGTGTAGATAAGCTTCAGTACAATACAAGTCCTCCAACTTCATCTGTATCTTCAGGAACCCCTTCATTTAAAAAAAAAAAGTCACTTAGATTTCTCATTTTCTTGTAGAACATCTCAAACATTTATCACTGTCCTTACGTTTGCTACTATGCCTCTATTGCTTTTCTCAGCATATTATCTTGAACACGTATCATAGTGAAAAAAAAATAAATAACAAAGCCTTCAATTTTTGATTGAAAATATGATTACTCCAAAAATTTCTAGCATTCACTCAAGGTCCAATTATGAGTATCTTATGTCCCAGCACTTTCCTTGTCTCCTTTGTACTTTCTTAAGGATACTCTTTCTATACAAGATAAACCTTTACCCTTGCTTTTGATTCTCTATCTACACACACTGATAGTCTTCATCTTTTCCAGAAATTTTAACAAAAAAATTAATTTTTCTCTTTTTTAAGCAACACTTACCATCTTCTTTGATTCTATCCTACACATATTTCCACACCTCTTTTACCTTAAAAATGTACTTCCCTTACATCCAGAGGCCCCGAGTCTATTTTCCTTTCTATGTCTTCTACTATTCTATCTATGTCTTCAGAGCATCTTGAAAGGGTGGTCTGTGCTTTAAGCATCCAGTCTTTACTTACCATATATTGATTATTTGGCCTTCTCTAACCTGGTTTCCTTTTGACCACTCCTCAAAAACAACTATGAAAAGTAATTATAAAAAAACACTCACTCTTAAGAAATGAAATATTTACTTCTAATTTGACTTACTCTTCCTTGGTCTCTAAAATTATTTATTGCTTTCTCCTTCTTAAAAATATCTGTCCCTTGGCCACTGTGATATCATTATTTTCAGATTTTTTTTCTCAAAATGGCTGTTTATATTACCAAGAAACAGTTTTCTGACTTCATATTTCCTTACTCTACATTATCTTCCTTTGAAAGGAAAACTCACTATGAGTCTTGCTTTACATGAATAGAAACGGGACTATTGGTATTTATTCAGATTAATATATAATATCACCTTCTCTTGACTTAACTATATGGTATCTCTTTAGAGATTTCCCTGCTGCCAGTTATTTTTTCATTCCATCTATTCCCCATAAGATGGCCAGACACATTTTTTTTTTTTTTTTTTTTTTTTTTTTTTGAGATGGAGTCTTGCTCTATCTTCCAGGCTAGAGTACAGTGGTGTGATCTTGGCTCACTGCAACTACCGCCTCCCAGGTTCAAGTGATTCTCCTGCCTCAGTCTCCCAAGTAGCTGGGATTTCAGAGCCCCGCCACGACGCACAGCTAACTTTTATATTTTTAGCACAGACGGGGTTTTACCATGTTGATCAGGCTGGTCTGGAACTCCTAACCTCATGATCCACCCACCTTTGCCTCCCAAAGTGCTGGAATTGCAGGCATGAGCCACCGCACCTGGCCACAGATACAGACTTTTTAATGTAAAAATCTAATCATCACACCTTTACTCCAAAGTAATTATTAATGCCCTCATTTTTACGGAGATTTTGGGGAAAAAAAAAGGTTCTTCAGCTCAGCATACACAGCCCTCTATCACCTGTCCTCAGCTAAACTTTCTAGGCTTCCCTTCATGACTTCCATGATTCTACACCATATATATTATACTTGAACAACAGAAGACTGCTCAGTATTAGACTCCGGACATGCTATTCTCTCTTGCATTTTCATGATTTTGGTGCTTCTCCCTCAATGCATAAAATCTTTTTTTTTTTTTTTTTTTTTTTTTAATGAAATTCTCTGCCTGGTAGACTACTCATTGCTCATTCTTCAAGGATTAATGCATATGTTATTTCCTCAGTGAAGTCTTTCTAGGCTCCCTCAGGCAGAGTTAGTATTCCCTTCTTAATGTAGCCAAGATGCTTTATTCCTCTCTCTACTATCACTTCCCACATTGTATTAGAATGCTTTGCTAACTGCTTCTCTTCCCCAGTGGACTGTGAGCTCCTCGAGGACACGGCAATGAAAGCAAAGCAGAGTGCCTGGAACAAAGCGAGTACTGGATAATTTGATGTAGGCTGCACAAATGGCCTGCTCTGACAAATGATGCTTTGATTGCATTGATGAATGTCTAAAAGTTTCTGGAATTGAAGCACATATCCTATGTCAGCTGAAGTGGGTATGGATATAAGAGAAAAAGAGCCATTATTTAGAACTTTCTTAAATACAAACCAAATAAAATATAATAAAAAGTCAACCTCTTTTATCTTTCTGGCTTTTCCATTTCCATAATTCTATCTATGATGTAAGTGTCACCTTTTCCTTTGAATCCAACATCTACTCAGTCACTACCAATTAACTATCATTGAAAATAATATATATTACCTTCTCAACTATGGTTTACATTCATTCTTGTTTTCCATCCTTTTTATTCCTACTTAACTTTAGACTAGACATTTCCCTCTCATATTGTTATCATCTCCTAATTACAAAAGTTTTAAATTTCACCCCGAGCCATACCTATCTTATATATTCTACTCTTGTGTTAATATACCTAAGTGACACCTTAAACTCATCACTCTGCTATTAAATACAATAGCAAAAATCTTCCAATGATATTAAACTACACTAGCCTATTATTCAGATTCTTCTGGCTAAAGAGCTTCTTCCTGGCTTCACTTTCACTGGGCCCTCGCCAGATCCTCTCTTGTAGCCAAACTGCAAGCATTGTGAAGCAGGAGCCATGCCACCTGTAGTCAGCATTCTATAGTCACCACAGAGCACATTTCCTAGGACATGCTAAGTGTTCAAAGCTTGTTGAATAAATTACTGAAAGGATGCAGAGTTTTCAAAATTCCTTCTTCAAGTACTTCTGCTAGAGGCATGGGTGCAGTGGGAAGTCAGGAGACAGGGTGGGTATGTGGGTGGGAATGGGGCAAGTGACTTAAGCTGCTGTGGATGGGCTCCAGTATCCACTTCTATTTCAACCAGAGCAACTCAACAATGCTACATGTACAAGGTGTGTATTGGGGGGTTAGTATAAGTTTTCATACTAAAAACCATGAGTTTTAAATCTGATGGGCCACTTTTTTTAATATAGAAAAATGGGTATGGCTTTGAAAAAAGACAGACCACGTAGTTTAAACTCTATGAAACTCAATTTCCTTTTTTATATCATAGAGTTGTTATGAGGATGAAATGGAATAATATATGTAAAGTGCCTGGCTCATGGTATGAAACTTAATCTTCCTTGTACCAACCCACTGCTTTTGTCAGCAGAGCCAGGAGTATGGTGAGGCACGTGATGCTAGGAACACAAAGTTTAAGGGGATCATTTCAGGGTCATGCACTTGACCTACAAGTCATGACACACTGGCCAAACTAGACTTCAAACCTTTCTCAAACATGTTGCTCATTCTTTTCACCAAGACTATCCTCCCTGCCAATTAAACCTAAGGAAAGCCTACCTAGAATAGAACCTTTTCTTATTAAAAACCTTCTGCAGTCATCCATCAAGAGTGTGTATTTCATTTCT